AATATGGCCGTAGCTTCCGAGCTGACATTACTACGGCGAGGGCGAGTTTTTCAGTTTGCGGGTAGCGTGTTTCCGCGTCGGTGAAAGTTTGCGAGACGTAAAAAATCGGCTTCTGATCCCCTCTGTCTTCCCTGACTATGACTCCGCTTATAGCCGTGTCGGAGACTGCGATGTACAGGAATAACGGCTCGCCCGGGATTGGTTTCGCTAACACCGGTGGATTAGCCAAATATTTCTTCAGTTCCTGGAAAGCTTCTTCGCAGCGATCGGTCCATTCGAATTTCTTGTTCCCGCGCAGAGTATCGTAGAAAGCCAGGCATTTGTCAGTGGATCGCGAGATGAATCGGTTCAAGGCTGCGACTCTCCCGGTGAGACGTTGGACTTCGCGCTTGTTCTGCGGTGAGGGCATGTTTAGTAGAGCATCGATCTGTTTCGGGTTCGCCTCGATGCCTCGGTGTGTTACGAGATATCCCAAGAATTCTCCAAACTTTACCGCGAAACGACATTTTGCCGGGTTAAGCTTCATGTTGTGCTTGTTGAGCTGACGGAAACAGTCGCGTAGATGGGCTATGTGGTCGCTTTCTTCAAGAGATTTGACTAACATGTCGTCGATATAAACTTCCATCGTCTTCCCGAGCTGTTCGGAGAACATTCTGTTGACGAGTCGCTGGTACGTCGCGCCGGCGTTCTTGAGTCCGAAGGGCATGACTTTGTAACAGTAGATACCTCGGTCTGTGATGAATGCTGTCTTCTCGCGATCGTCGGGGTTCATGAGAATTTGATTGTATCCTGCGAAAGCGTCCATGAATGATAGCAACTTATTTCCCGCGGTTGCTTCCACTAAACGATCGATATGTGGGAGCGGAAAACTGTCTTTAGGGCAAGCTTTGTTCAGATCGGTGAAATCGACGCAAACTCTCCACTTGCCGTTCTTCTTTTTAACCACGACAGGATTTGCTAACCAGTCCGGATACCTTGCTTCAGAGATCGAGCCGATCTTCAGGAGTTTTTCAACTTCGGCGTTCACTGCATCTGCGCGATCCCGACCCAATTTTCTTCGCTTCTGCTTGATGGGCTTGAAAGATGGGTCAACATTCAGCTCGTGGCAGATTATGTCGATGCTTACCCCAGGTAGATCTTCAGCCGACCAGGCGAAGGTGTCGATGTTCTCCTTGAGGAATGAGATGAGCTCGGTCTTGAGCTCCTCGGTTAAGTCGCTGCCAATTTCCACACATCGTTCGGGCCGTTCGTCGTCGAGGCTAATGGAGATTACAGGATCCGAGGTAGGCTTCTTCTCCTCGCGCGCCTCCTCGATCTGTAATTGCTATAACTGTTTAGATATAGCCTTCTCTTCACTCCGGCCAAGTTTCGATTTCTTGTGATCCGTTTCAGCCTTTACTTCAGTGACAGGGTTTCGGAGTTTGTGTGCTGCCATGAAACACATCCGAGAATTTTTCTGACTACCCCAAATTGTTTTCACGCCATTAGGGGTCGGGAATTTGACACACAAATGATATGTTGATGCGACAGCTCGCATTAGATTTAACCACGGGGTTCCCATTATGACGTTGTAGATGGTAGGTCGATCGGTGACTGAGAAGTTGACTATCTTTGTCACCCCGCCGGTTCGGACTGGTAGTTGGATGGTCCCAAGCGTCATCAAAGTCTCCCCTGAAAATCCGAGGACAGGCCTCGGGGTCGGAATCACCTGTGACATGTCGATGTTCATTCGTTGGAGCGTTTCGCGGAAGATCACGTCGATGGTGCTGCCGGTGTCAATTAATACTCGGTAAATATCGTGGTCTCCTATCGCCAATGTGACGACGATTGGATCGTTATGAGGCATGTCGAGCCCGTTCGTCTCGCTCTCTTCGAATGTGATCACGTCGTTAGGTCGATCGAAGGGTCTTGTCCAGTTGCTAGGTGTCTCGGCTCGGCGTTGATAAGCTTTGATTGCCGCTACAGTGTCAGGACAGTATGGCGATCCACCCATTATGGTAAAAACCTTCTGCCGCGTACCATCTCGGTCTTCGTCTTCCGATCCCCGGGTTCTTTTCTGAGACTCCTGGTTCCTTGGTTCGGGGTCTCTTCCTGGGTTGGTCTGCTCGGGCTCCGGTTCTGGCTCGAGGTCCTTAAGAGTAACGTTTGTCCCGAGCTCTCCAGCTAGGAATTTGGTTGCTAACTTGGCTCCGAGGCTTCGGCATCTCGAGGTATGATGGCCGAAAATTTTGTGGTGTTCGCAATATTCTTGATCATTGCTCGGTGGCTGATCCCTTGTCCAGGTGAAGGACTCTCTTCCCCGCCCACGGCCTCGGCCTCTGCCGCGGCCACGGCCTCGGGGTGTGTCGATTTGGTAGCTATGGTATCCTGAGAAATTGCACCCTTCGTGATGCGTATATGTACTGCTCTCACGCGTCTTCTTCTGGATTGGAGGTGCCGCTTGTGCTTTCTCAGTTTTCTCGGTTTTCTCGGCTCGGGACGCCTGTTTCGTCGGCTCGTGCCTTTTTGCTAGTAGCGCCATTTCTTCTTCGTGGGCGACGAAATCCGAGGCTCGATGCAGCGCGTCACGAATTGTTGTTGGTTTAGACAGGTTCAACTCTTTCCTGAATTCTGACTTGTACCAGAGAGCTTTCTTCAAAGCCGAGAGAGCTGCTACATCTGTAATTCCTTCGACCTTGGCTAGCGTCGATTTGAAGGTCTTGAGGAAATCCCTTAATGGCTCGGTGGGCTGTTGAGATAAGGACCATAGATCCGCATCGGAAGTTCCGGGGTCGATGAGCACGGAGTATTGTTTGAGGAACAATGTCGACAGCTCGTCGAAACTATCAATCGAGTTTCGTTCCAATCTTGAAAACCACTCTAATGCGGGTCCTTTGAGGTGTTCCACGAACAGTAAGCACAGACCCGCATCCTTTTCTCCGGGCTTGAACCTGGCTCGGGCCACAGATATCACGAACGATTTAATGTGGCACTTCGGGTCGGTTGATCCGTTGTAGGAGTCGATTCTGAACTTTCCCAGGTTGGACATCGTCGTCTCAGAAATTCTTTTGGTGAAAGGCGTATTCCGAGATTCTTCCAAAATTCGGTCGATGTTCGGCGCGGAGGATGAGACGCTATGTATCTGGGTTTTGACGAGCTTCATATCAGCTTCCGCCTTGGCTAGGGAGGCTCGGATCTTGCTTAGCTCGTCTTCTCTTTCGGATTCTTCGGCCCACCTTATGTTTTCTTCAGTTTCTTCGTCATCAGTAAGGTCTGTTCGCTCGGCGGAATTAGCTCCGGCTCGGGTACGCTCATCCTGAAGATCTGGCTCGTCTGTCAAGTCCACTGCGTCCGGCTCGGTGGGATCATCCTGGTCCTCGCGCCTGACAGGGTCGGCTCGGGTTGCGACTCTGGTGTTGCCGGTTGGTGTCGCGAACGTGAGTCTCGTTGGGTTGATGCCAGGCAAGTCCCTCCGAGCTCGTGGTGGCCGAGTTTGGAAACGTGTGGTTTTTTGTTGCCCGCGTGTTGCGATTTCGTCGACTCGCTGCGCCAAGGTTTGGTTGGCTTTCTCTTGGTCGTCAGTTTTCTTCTGGAATTTAACCATCAGATCTTTCAGTTCGGCTAGAGTCGCTAGGATCGTCGGATCGGCGGGTTGAGGGTTCTGAGGGTTCGGAGGGTTCGGGATTCCTCCTCCAGCTGGTGGCGTCTGACGACCGTCTTCGGTCATCGTGCTTTTCAGTAATCGAGTTCTGCGTCTTAGGGTAAGAGAATTCTAAAGTATCCCCACAGACGGCGCCAAACTGTGGAAGTCGAAACTAACACAATCAAGATTTGTCTAGGGTTTTATTTTAGGGATACGATAATCGTGAATTCTCAAAGAACAACAGAAACGATTGATACCAAAGATGGTGTTCTTGATATTATTAATGAAAAGATGACTTTGATCGTACAAGAGTTTGATCGTAAAAGAAAAAGTGTTTGTGCTGTAAGAGCTTTGCGTAGTGTAATTTCTAGAGCGATATTGCTTTCCCTTCGTTTGAGCCTTGAGTCTCTTTATATAGGGATGATAAACCGCCTCTCCGGCGATATTCTCGGAAGATTTCCATTTATCTTGAAGTCGGCTAGAATATCGCGGATTAGGACAATTTCCTTATTCTTCGGAGTTTTTGGAAGATTTCCTGATTTGAGTTGATCCTTCGCGCTTCTTCCTTATCATTTCCGAGTTTATCGGAAATGATCCTTCTTTTTCGGAAATGACAATGTGCTTGGAAATGATACCTTTAGAGAAGAATATTTACTAAGTCCTTGCTTCGGGCGATGATGAAGACTTCGCCTCGGAGAACTTGTGCAACCGGCTCGGGGACAAGAGAGGCGTGGCCTAGGCTCCCGAGGGAAAGCGGCTCGGGTTCACGGAAAGATCCAGCTCGGGGGTCTCGACACAAACCGGCTCGGTTTCCCGAAGTGAACCGGCTCGGGCACTTGAAGGGAGCCGGCTCGGGTTCACAAGCCTGCTGACAGACCCCGAGCAGACTATGGGTGTTCCCCGAGGTGATTGATGCGATGACCCGAGGCGAATGACAATCTGACCCGAGGTGAATGACAATCTGACCCGAGGTGAATGACAATCTGACCCGAGGTGAATGACAGTCCGACCCGAGGTGAATGGCAGTTTCCACCGAGGTGAATGGCAGTTTCCACCGAGGTGTCTTCAGAAATTCCTGAGGCGTTCGAAGTTCGGCTCGGTGCTATGGGATGAAATCCGACCCCAACAATCAATATCTTTTTTATCCTTTTTTTACATTCAATATCTTTTATTATTATTGGTATGATAGCAATTTTGAATTGTTTCCCAAAACTAGATTAGAATACAATGTTCTTTTGCTGACAATATATTAGAATACAATGTATCTAAATGATTTTTTCTTTTCTTATTATGTATGTATGCATTCCATTTGTCAACAAAAATTAATTGTTTTTTCTATCAGATTCAGAATTGAAGAAAAAAAGAAAGAAAAAGTAAACTAGCCGTTAGATAAACGAAATTCAAAAGCTTCCAAGCGGCGCTTGTTTACTATCCAACGTTCAAAAACAAATAAATCCGCTTTAAATTTCCTTTTTCTTTTTTCCCATTTAAACTGCAAAGACGACGTCGTTTGCCCTTACTCAGACGCCGTTTTATAACCTCAGAGACTCTCTCATCAATCGCTCTCTCTCTCATCGGAAGGAAGAAGAAGGATCTTTGTTATCTTCCTCTTCTCCTTCTTCTACTTTCGATCAGTCGTGAATCTGATTCTACTCTAGTCTAACTGAGTGCTTTCGATTTCTTAATAAAAATTCGATTTTTCGATTAAGAAAGCGAAAGTGATGGCCGCCGTAAATGGGTATCAGGGAAATACTCCGGCAGATCCTCCGGCGTCTAATGGATCAAAACAACCTGCGGCTCCGACCAAGACTGTTGACAGCCAATCTGTTCTCAAGAGGTACTTTCATTTTCTCAATCTTGTTCCAACATTTCGCTGCACCCATTCACCAATTCAATATAATCGCTCTGATGTCTCTTTGTTTATATCCATTCCATGGTTTGTTAGTATTTGGCTACTACCCATATCCAATTCTTTATGGTCGATGTACTTCTGGATCCGTTAAATGAAGTGAGAGACTTCTCATATATCTTTGCATACAAACTGTTTGTTAGAATGTCTCTAAGAGAACTAAACCTTTAACTTTGTATTGATCTTGAATCAGATTTTATCGTTGCCCTTTACCTTATATTGCTCAAAGTTTCGGTTTTTAATCAGACTTTAAGTAAACCCCAGATTCCTAATCTAGTTTTTTTTCTTTGATTATACGCAGGCTGCAATCTGAATTGATGGGCTTGATGGTAAGTTATCATCTTTCTTCCTTTTACTGAAGAAGTTTTTGTAGTTAAGATGCTCATAGGGTTCTTGACTTGGTTGTTTTTCAGATGGGCGGTGGTCCAGGAATATCGGCTTTCCCTGAGGAAGACAACATATTCTGCTGGAAAGGGACAATAACAGGAAGCAAAGATACTGTGTTTGAAGGAACTGAGTACAGACTCTCACTCTCTTTTTCCAATGATTATCCTTTCAAACCTCCAAAGGTTAAGTTTGAGACATGTTGCTTCCACCCCAATGTTGATGTCTATGGCAATATCTGCTTAGACATTCTTCAGGTAAAAGATATCCTCCACTTGTGTCTTTGTTCTACACTGAATCAGAGAAGAAGTATCAAACTTAATCCGTTTACAAATTTTCGTATTTGCAGGATAAGTGGTCATCTGCTTATGATGTCAGGACAATACTACTATCGATTCAGAGCCTCCTGGGAGGTAATCCATCGCGCATAACCTTTGATATCTTGTAAGCTCTTTGTTGGTTAATCAAATATCTGATACATCTTTTCGTTGGTCAGAACCGAACATCAGTTCACCATTGAACACTCAAGCAGCTCAGCTCTGGAGTAACCAAGAAGGTAACAGTCATTATAAAATCAAACGTCGTTGGAGTTCCATGATTATGAGTTTTCTTATGTCACTTTTGTTATCCATACGCAGAGTACAGGAAGATGGTTGAGAAGCTCTACAAGCCTCCCAGTGCATGATTTCTGCAAGCTGTTCTGATTCATAAAACTCCAATGCCTCTGATGATTTCCACATAAGACGATTTTTCAGAAGAAAACACTGTCATTCATTTGCTTTTATTCTTTGTTTTTGAACATCAGAAGTTCTCTGTAGCTTTACCTTGAGTTTTGACTTGAGCCAAATAATGAGTTTTTCAGAGATTAATCAGATGATAAAGATACTTTTATTTTATTCATTTAAAGATGGAAAAACACTCAATATCAAGTACAATCGCCAAATTTTTATTGTTGAAGAGGGAAATGATGGTGAAGGAAGCTTGAAGCTTTGACTGATCGATCCACCAAACTTAAGAAAGGCCACGAACTTTTCCAGTTTCAGTGTCAATATCAATCTCGTAGAAACAAGGTCTTGTAGGAAGTCCAGGCATGGTACTCATTGTACCAACCAGTGGATATATGAAACCAGCTCCAATGCTTCCTCTTACATCCCTTATTGGTAACACAAACCCTGAAGGTGCTCCTTTCTTTGATGCATCATGCGAGAATGAGTACTGTGTTTTCGACATGCATATGGGAAGATTCGAGAAGCCTTGTTGTGTGTACATCTCAATCTGTTTCTCTGCCTGCATTTACATAACACAGAATAATAGATAAATTACATAAAGAGGTTTCTTTTGTCAACAATGTAAAGAAAATGAAGAAGTCTGTCTATGAATTAATTACCTGGTCTGAGTATTCAACACCACTGGCTCCATATGACTTAGCTATGGCCTCAATTTTGTCTTTGATGCTAATGTCCAATGGGTAGAGAAACCTAAGTGGCTGTGTAATGTTTTGACAAGCTTTTTCAACCGCGATACCAAGATCCACCTATAACATTTACAAGATAATTCATCTTTCGATAAGCTAGATTGCAAAAGAAATTGCAGACCACAAAGTGTTATGTTTAGAAGAGAGGAGATTACCGCTCCTTTGCCACCGTGAGCATGGTGGGAGCAGACCACAGCATCAAAAGCACCGGCATCCATTGAAAATTTCCTAACTGCATTTAGTTCTGCTTCGGTGTCTGTTGAGAACATATTCACAGCAACAACTACATTAACACCGTAGGCCTTTGTGTTTGAGATGTGCTTTGCCAGATTCACACAGCCAGCTTCAACCAAGGAAACATTCTCGTTTACATAAGCACGATCAAGTGGCCTCCCTGCAACAACATCAGGCCCACCACCATGCATTTTCAAGGCCCTAACAGTCGCCACAACAATCGCACACTGAGGCGTTAGCCCGCTGTAGCGGCACTTAATATTCATGAACTTCTCTGTTCCAATATCAGAACCAAAACCCGCTTCTGTTACCACAAATCCACCAGGTCCCACCAGCTTCAAAGCGATTTTATCAGCAACAATCGATGAATTTCCATGAGCTATGTTTGCAAAAGGACCAGCATGAACAAGGACAGGTGTCCCTTCCAGTGTCTGCATTAGTGTTGGGTTAATAGCGTCTTTCATCAGAACAGTCAAGGCTCCTCCAACACCAAGATCATCTGCTGTTATCGGATCCCCGGCTTTGCTGTTTCCAATCACCATTTTACCTAGCCTCTCTCTCATATCACCTAGAGAGGTTGTCAAAGCCAAAACAGCCATAATCTCACTAGCAACAGAAATGTCGAAACCAGTTTCTCTAGTCATCCCCTTTTCCTCAGGTCCCTGACCAATAGTAATCTTCCTCAAGAACCGATCATTAACATCCATAACTCTTCTCCACGTGATAGAAGCAGGATCAATATCAAGCCTAGCAAATTTCTTTATCTCCTCGGGAGTAAGCTCCTCAGGACTGGTCTTGGAGATCCCAAGCTTTGTCAATCTCCTGAACATAATGTCACTGAAACTACGCTTCCCTTCTTTATTCGGAGGGCACAACCTATTAAAAAGAGCCTTGTCGGATTGAGACGTCTCATGGAAAATCCGAGTGTCGATTGCAGCAGCTAAGAGATTGTTGGAAGCGGTGATCGCGTGAATATCTCCAGTGAGATGAAGATTGAACTCATCCATAGGAATGACCTGACTATACCCACCACCAGCTGCACCTCCTTTGATTCCAAAGGTGGGTCCTTGTGACGGTTGGCGAAGACAAGTAACAACCTAAGAAACAACAAGTCAATAAAATTAAGACAAAAAGGGAGTAATTTTCAAACAAAAGCATAAGCTAACAAGTGAAAGCAAGAAAGAACCTTCTTATCAAGGTAAGCGCCTAAGGCTTGGCAAAGTCCAACAGTGGTAGTACTCTTGCCTTCTCCAAGAGGAGTAGGAGTAATCCCTCCAACAACAACATAGTAACCATCTTCTTGTCCTTGAAGCTCATCAAACGCAGACAACAAAACCTACAAAGAACAAATCATCAGTTGATTAGATCAGAAAACTAAATGAGAACTTCATAAGAGAAACTACTGGTTTAACAAACTTCTCATGTTTTAGGGGAAACTAAAGTATCAATCTTGTCCACCGACAAAAACTGAACAAGAAAAAAGAGCTAATTGGTAAGAGCCTACTAAAACTCAATCTTTAGCAATCTCTCGAACATTCTTATTATGTTTTGGACAAAACATGATCAAAATCAATTCGAAAAATATCCAAAAACAGAGTTCTCACGGAACCTTGTTGAATCAAATCTCAAAACATGTCACAATCCCAAACCGACAACCACCTAGAAGAGACAGGATGAATAATTCATTTTCAAAGGAGATAAAAGAAAAGGGTAATATTATGATTACAACCTTAGCTTTATACTTGCCATAGAGATCGTAGTGAAGTGGGTTGATATTAAGATCTTTGGCAATCTCAGAGATGTGTAAAGGCTCCACGGAATTAGCTATATCGATATCGGCCGGAACTGGTGAAACAACCTCAAGCTTTCTTGATGATGAACTCATCGCTCTCTCTAAAGTCTGATCTAGCGTTGGAGGATGAGAAAATGGATGAGGACGATGATGATGATGATGATGATGATGATGATGATGATGATGTTTATTAAATTTTTTATTTGTTTTTGTTAACTCTCAAAGCATATAATATTAAATATTAAGTATCAAATCCATCTGTAGATTATCCATATTAACCAATGAGAGAACGATGACGTTTTTCTTTTCTTCTCTTCTAATATATTTTCGAAACACAAAATTATTGAAGGTAATGAAATGACGGCTTCACCCTTAATCTATAAGCGCAGCCACTACTAAACTAAAAGGGAAATTTAAAAAGAGTTATAACAATATAGAAGGAAGAAAAGGCTGGACAAATTGATGGATATTAATGGTAATATGCAAAGATCTGAAGCATCCAAAGGAGCGGTGGCTGAAGCTTACTTCTTTAAGCTTTTTACCTCTACTAATCCAAATGACTTCCAGGAGATTTTTGATGGGTTCATTCCTAAGGTCACTCAGGCGATGAACGATTCCCTTACCAAAGCTGTGTCCAAAGAGGAAATAAAGGAAGCTGTTTTTGCTGTAAAAGCCTCGAGTGCTCCGGGTGCTGATGGTTTCACCGGTTTTTTCTTTCAGAAGTATTGGGAGATTATTGGTGTGCAAGTTACAAAGGAAATTCAGGATTTTTTCATTACTGGTAATCTTCCTTCTGAATGGAACTACACACAGCTTTGTTTGATCCCTAAAAAGGATAATGCTACTATGATGACTGATCTTAGGCCTATTAGTTTGTGCTCTGTTATGTATAAAATCATCTCCAAGATTCTAGTGAAAAGGCTTCAGCCGTTCCTTTCTGAGATTGTAGCTCCTAATCAATCTGCATTTGTGGCAGACCGTCTTATCTCCGATAATATTCTCATTGCTCATGAGTTGGTCCATGGTCTGCGTACTCATCCAGCGATATCTAATGAGTTTATGGCGATTAAATCTGATATGTCTAAAGCTTACGATAGGGTCGAGTGGAATTATTTAAGGGCTCTTCTCTCTGCTATGGGGTTTCATCAACAGTGGATTCATTGGATTATGTGTTGTGTTACTTCTGTCACCTTTTCTGTGCTTATCAATGATCAACCTTTTGGCTTGATTAAACCTCAGAGGGGTCTAAGGCAAGGTGACCCGTTGTCTCCCTTTCTCTTTGTTATGTGTACCGAAGGGTTGACACATTTGATGAATAAGGCTGAATCTAATGGAGTGTTAAATGGTATCCAATTTGATCCTGCTGGTCCATCTATTCATCACCTGTTATTTGCAGATGATAGTCTTTTTATTTGCAAGGCTAATGAGGCTCAAAGTGGTGTGTTGATGGAGATTTTAAGGACGTATGGGGAGGCTACAGGCCAGTGCATAAATGTTCAAAAATCATCTATTACTTTTGGTGAAAAACTGGAGGGGAATTTGAAAGTGAGTATTCAGAATAAGCTTGGTATTTTCGCGGAGGGAGGTGCAGGGACTTATCTAGGCTTACCTGAATGCTTCAGTGGGTCCAAGATCCATCTTCTAGACTACATCAAAGACAGGTTAAAAGCAAGATTATCTGGTTGGTTTGCGAGAACCTTGTCATTGGGAGGGAAAGAAGTCTTATTGAAAGCTGTGGCTATGGCAATGCCGGTATATGCTATGTCATGTTTCAAACTCCCGAAAACTTGTGTCTCTAACCTTACTAGTGCTATGTCTGATTTTTGGTGGAATGCTCTTGAACATAAGAGAAAGATTCATTGGGTAAGTTGGGAAAAGATGTGTCTGTCAAAGGAGAATGGTGGTCTTGGATTCAGGGACATTGAATGCTTCAATCAAGCTCTACTTGCGAAACAAGCTTGGAGACTTCTTCAAGAACCTGATTGTCTTTTTGCTAAGCTTTTTAAGAGCAGATACTATGTGGATGAGGAAATATTGGATGCAAGTCTTGGTGACAGACCCTCTTTTGGCTGGAGAAGTATTTTGCATGGAAGGGAACTGTTGAAGAAAGGATTGAGCCAACAAGTGGGCAATGGTAAGTCCCTCAATGTTTGGATTGACCCTTGGGTTTTTGATGAAGTTTGGAGAGCACCATACAGGAAACAAGATTTTTTTGATCCAGGTTTACGGGTGGACAAACTTATTGATAGAAGGAATAGAGGGTGGAAACTGGATATTCTAAATGAGCTGTTCTTCCCAAATGATGTTCAGTTGATTTTAGCACGAAAACCGGTCTTTCGAAGGAATGATTTTTGGTGTTGGGATCACAACAAAA